ATGACTGCATATGAGCTTTCTGGGTCAACTTAGCAAAGGTGGGTATATTTTCAACATGCATGTAATAATTGGACACTGATTAAGAATTGTTATATCATATCAATATTAAGATAACACAAAGAATACACGTATATATTAAGAAAATCTAGGGATTTCAACAAAATGTTCATTTTGGAAAATTATGTACTGAATTACCAACTGTCAACAATCATTCCTAAATGAGGATGAAGACACAAGAGGAAACAGCAGAGAATTTTATAATAATGCAAGGGACAGCACAAAATATGTCTTCTAATTAATGACGAGTTAATCTACTAATAATCAAGTCTAACATCCAATTTTTCAGGTAAATGTAAAACAATTTTAAGTATAAGACAGTATGTAAGGGCTCCCATCATTCAGTTGAAAGGTTAAGTAAATATAGATACTTAATGCTGAAAATAAAATTTCTTGACAATCAATTTAATTGTCAGAAGAAGTGTGGTATTCCATTGCCAGTTTTTGAAGCTAGGTAAGCAACCAAAATTTTCTATTGGTTTTCACAATACACACATTAACATGATCATATTCCATGCTACTTACATATCTTACTTTTCCAAAGTTAAGAAGTTGTCTGGTTGCAATAATAGCACAGATATGTTAAACTGTAATCTAACAGTGATCAGCAATAACACTTCTGTCATAATAATGTACTATATATGGACAGACAAGTGGTCCACATATATCCCTAATTAATTAATGTAATACATAAATAAAATATTTTCACACAAGTTCATTCCCTTCTAAATAACATTCTCCAAATACACCAGAGAAAAAAGGAACAACAGCTTACAAATGCACTCCAAAATTGCCAAAACATATACATACACATTTCATATGTGATGACGTATGATCAACTCATACTGTAATTATTATAAGTTCCACATGTTATTAAAAAAGCACATCATGGATATTACTTATTAGTAGATATATAAAACAGTTAATTCAAAGCCTGAAAATACCAAAAAAACTTTAATTAGCCTACTAAAATATTTCAAAGACCTTTTACACAATGCTTCTCCATGTCTATGAGGGAAAATGGCAGAAATCTTCTTCTATGATTAATATCAAAGCAAACACTGCCTCTATGGTTTGGTTCACTGTGATGGACCAAGTTACATAACACAGCCAATCTCCAATCACACTTTCTATGTCAGTTAAAAGAACTGGTTGAACTACTATGACCTTGGTGAAAATAAAATGCTGAGGTTACAGACTGGCTGGTTGCAAACTCGGAACGTCACCTACTGGGACACAGCTTGATGTAGTTAACGGCTAAGAGCTATATTGTTATTATCTCTACTATTCTCGACTTCCCTACACACCTCAACCTCTCTGTTTAGAGATTGTCATCAAGGTTGTCCGAAGAGTCTACCCTATCAATGAAGAGTCGTGTCCACTCGCTATCTGAAGTGTCACTTCGTGGCATTGGCTGTAAGAGAGAGTCGACGCGAACTACATGAACTACTTGAACGCTTTCTTTCCACTGTTAAGGTTTCATTTTCCTTTATGGGGGTGAGAAGGGAGGGATAACTACCTTACATAACCTATAGGTCTGATATTAATTCATTTTCCTTTTCTTAACCTCCATCTTTTGTAACTAAAGCTAATTCTTTTACAGTTATCACTTCCTGGCAGTTATGCTAATAATTTCTTCTTTTAGCTATTTCAGAACCTGACATACTCTCATCCTGGTATTTTCCCTTACAAGTAATGGCTTAACTCCTCTTTTTCCTTACTGCAACTCAGTGAGAAAAAAAATATATAAATAATTATAAAAAGAGTTACTAGGGATACTTAACAAACTGACTGCAAAGAAATTATCTATGAATAACAATCATATATTGCAATATGATAAACTTAGAATATAATTACTACCATGAATTGAAAACAAAAAACTTTTACAGGCAAAAGATAATCAATAAATGTCCACTAACACCTATTCTTTCTTGGCCTTTAATCAAATCTTATATAACGTTGGGTGGAAATAGAGGTTCAAAGTATTTATGAATCTTTAGTGCATTAAAGCGAGTAAAATTCACTGAACAAGAAAAATAACCGTAACTCTTTCTTGCAACATAAAGTCTGCTTATATCTATGTTACATGGTACAAAATTAACACAAAATAAAATTACAAAGGATGTTTGCAGAGAGCTTTATTTCTGAGGAATTTCATGGCTGAAAAATTGCTGACTCTATTCTATCAAATCTCTTTCAAACAAGGTCGTGAACTTTGCAAATTCTATTGATAAATAAAGAAAATAGGTGTAAGGAAGAAGGTTAGTGAGGTAAAGCAGAATTAATAAAAAATGTATGACAAACTGGACAACACAACGTCGGGGAAGATATCTACGGAAAAAAAGGATAAAAAAGCAAAACTATCCGATGAAGAGACGACAATAATATTCTGAGATAAATAGATGAACTTTGAATTTCTGTGTTGATTTGAGTCTGTATGGAGAGGGAAGGGTGTTATGTATGTTGTGTGTGTTTTGTGTACTGTGTGTGTTGTTTGTCTCGTGTGTTTTGTGTGATGTGTGTATTGGTGTATTGGGCAGTATATGTTATGCATGTCGTATTTTTTTTTTTGTGTGTGTGTGCTTTGTGTAAGCATGTATGTTGTGCATGTTATGTCTGGTGTGTGTGTTGGTTGTACTATGCATGTAGTGTATTTTATATACTGTGTGTGTTAAGTATGCTGTGTATGCTTTGTCTAATGTGTGTTTTAATATTATGTGTACTGGGTGAGCTATGCATGTTTTGTGTGTTAAGTGTACTTACATTGTGTGTACTGCTTATTTTAAATGTGTTGTGTACATTATGCCTGCTGTGTGTATTGTGTTGTGCATTGTGTTGTATGTAATGAATGTTTTGTATGACATATGTGTGGTAAATAATGTGCACTGTGTGTGCTATATATGTTGTAAGTTACATGTGTTGTGTGTGCTGCATGTGTTGTATCTATTGCGTATATATTGTTTGATGTGTAAGCTGTATGTATTGAGTGTGTGTGTGTGTGTGTGTGTGTTGTGTGTGTGTTGTGTTGTGTGTGTGTGTGTGTGTGTGTGTGTGTGTGTGTGTGTGTGTGTGTGTGTGTGTGTGTGTGTGTGTGTGTGTGTGTGTGCAATTCTTGTGTGCAATATGAGTACTTTTTTTTTCCTAAACCTAATATTACGTGATTGTTCAGAAAATAATCTATTTGTATGAAATATTTATTTTCAATTAAAAGTGTACCACATTACTTTCATGATATAATAATATATGTTATGGGAGCTTACTCTGTGTTGCATTTTTTCTCCTTGGTAACTTAAAGTATTTGGGAAAATGTGGGTTGTGTTATGCTCTGTTGTGTTGTGCGGTGTTGTGTTAATGCAATGTGACCCATTATGATCATATAGTATTATTCAAATACCTAATACCCAGCGATACTAATAACTCCCAGTTAATCAAGCAGAAAATGTGTATTTAATTTAACAAATTCTAAACCTAAGGTGAAGGGCGGAAATGACTAAATGAATGTCTATGAATATGGCAAGTGAGAACTGTCACAAAACCTGATTAAGAATTGACTGAGTATATTTTATATAACATATGGTATAACATAATGGATGAATTTACACTGCGATGTTTTTATCTATAGCAACTAAGCTATGATATAAAATCATTAACAATTACATCTACAAGGACTTTTTCACAATATCAGTAACTAAACATCAGGTTTGACAGGATTTCAGGACCATAAACGATTTCTAGTTAATTTCATTCTAAATACAGAGTACCAATGTTTCAGTACCTGAACGAACACATACACATAACTGTAAATCTTTTGTATAAACCTCTAGTGTTTCACAGTCATAAAGCCACATCCCAGTTGTCTATTTTACTCTAAGTTTTCCATAGCTGCTAAATTCCTTCTAGACAATGGAGGTCATGTTATGAAAAACAAAACAAAAAATGTAAAAGCATTTCAATTGTTAATCAACGAGAAATTTACCTCTACATCTAGGAAAAAAAGTTCATTCTCTGGTATGGCCATCTGGAAAAATTGATCTGTGAGGCTTTCCTCTGCCACAATCTTTTTCTTTGTTCTATCATTATTGCAATAATGTAAGACCTATGCCAATGCCTATCTTTTATGACTCTTCAACATTTTGTTCATCAGCAAAAACCCATCTAGTAATCTAATAAAAGCACAACACTGCATTACACTGATGTGCATACTCTGCTATCCTCTGTATGCAAACATCCTTGAATATATTATTGTTATTACATTATTGTTGAAATACAATAATGTATTCATACAAACAAACCTTAAGAGAGAGAGATAGAAACTTATCAGGTCATTTGTACTTCAGAAAACACAACTGCCTTATTAAATTTTTACGCCTTACCTCCTCGCTCTTGATCATGCCCTGCGTCGACATTGTGGTCTCGACTCTCTTGATGGAAGCTGTCTGGATGTCGTGGTCGAATCGCGTGCATTGGAAGCGACGCATGAAGTACACGATAGGGATAGGCAAGAATCCACCCATCAGCAGCATGAGGCATACAAACATGGCCCAGCCTGGGTATGCTTCCTTGACTGCATTACCCTGAAAGAAAAAAAGGTTTTGGTAGAATGGTTTGGATAATATCTTAGCAGGAAATGAATACATACATGAAAAAAATGGTTGTATGACATCACTTCTCTTAAATGATATATACATATTGTTTCCTCTTATGCTACATCAAAACTGGTGTAATTATGATAGCTTATGTTTGGGAAAAACATTCTTTTTACTTAATCAAACATAACTAGCCTGAACAGAGATAATTTGATAACCAATAATAGTTATATTAGTCCATTGCTGCTGTGAAAATGTAGTGCTGACTGTAGTTTTCTTTTATGAAATGTCTGTACACATAAATGAGTCTATAATTGCTCAACCACCAAAGTATCAATAAGTAGACCTTATGACCTC